AAAAAAATAGCAGTAGAGCAATATAAATGAAAGAACCCAAAACAGCTAGGCACCTGTAACTGTGTCATCCCAGGAACTATGTGTATATTAGCTCATTTAGTACTCTCACTAATTGTGTGATGAGTTACTATCCCCTTTTTCCAAATGAGGAAGTAAGTTCAGAGTGATTTCCTCAAGGTCACAAATGCTCCATGAGAACTTGGGCCTACTCACTCTTTTTCATTGCTGTATCCTCAGTGCCTAAGAGTGACTGGAACATAATAGATACTCAATAAATATTTGAATGAATGAAGAGATGAACAAATAGAGCTAGTAAGCAGGGCTAGAATCAATTTCACCTGACTCCTAGTTCAGTCCTCTACTATGTTTAAAGCAGAGGAATGAGATGTACCATTTATTGAGCAACTGCTATATAACTAAACACTGGGAGATAACTGAACCTTATTTAGGATAAGGGACTTAAGGGACTTAATAATGTTTATTTAATTACACTCTTCAGTTCATGGCAGTAACTGTATTAGACACGTTACATAAATTGTCATTTCGTCTTCCTAAAAACTCTTTGAGGCACGTATTTTTACCTCCATTTTACAGATGAAGAAATACTCATGAAATGACTAGCCCAAATTCACACAAGCAGCAGAATGGCTGAGTCTAGTCCAGGTAAGTTTAACTCCAAAACCTGTGTTACTAAACACTGTCCTGGTTTTGGGCTTGCACGTGCAATAGAAATACTATCCCCTGTACAAACATCCCCTGGAGCAAGAGAACATCTTGAAGAGGACTGCACGGAGCTGGGACAGGGAGGGCAGTGATGAAACCAAGACTACCTGGGTCACTGAACAAATCAATAACTAGGTTACCACGTTGCAATCTCTCATTAACCCTAGAACGCTGCTACTCCAACAGGGCTAGTGACAGGTCTTGATAAAATCTGGGGACGACAGAAGCAAAGATACTCAAGAAACCACCTAAACCTCCGCTTTTAACACAACATAGGGGAAGAGGACAAGCCCTGAGAGTATGGGAAAGGAAAGTGAATGAGAGTTTCACAAGAAGGTGTGGAAGGAACGAGGAGGGCAGGAGGCGAAGCGGTTAGCCCCAAGAACAGGTGCACTGTCGGGACTGGTTCTAGCATCGGGTACAGGAAGGGCCTGCGGGGAGGAAGGAGTTCTGGCTCTCTCAGGCCACGGGCCCGTCACCCGACTTCCTTAAGAGACACTCTGCCTCACCCTCGGACCCTTCTGTCGCAGATCCCCAGCTCACCAGGGGCCTGGGCAATGCTGTCCCTGGGTCTCCTGGAGACTCCGCCGCCTCCGCCATCTTGGCCCTCCTGCTCCTGGGTCGCTCCCACAGGCCTTTGCGGAACCTAAGACGTGGAGGCCGCGGCCCGTCAGCCGGTTCGTCGCGCGAGGGCCGCGTCACCAATAGGCGCCTGGCACCGGATGTTGGGGAGAGGTTCCTGTCTCCTTGCTTCGCTTCTTCGGGGCCGCGGGTCCTGCGAGACGCGTTTCCCCTTTCCCACTCAAGCCAGATTCTCAGATCGCTCCGTGGGTCTCGGGACCTGTGCTGCGTTCCCTCCCCGTGCCCAAGCACTGGTCTCGGCTCTCAGGAGTAGGCTCAAAGTGCTGTCCGCCGCAGCGCAGGGCCTCACGAAACAAGCGTGCCCCGCCCCGGCCACAGAAAAACTGCGTTTCCTAGCTCCTGAATAAAGGGATTTAGCCCTCCCTAACGTGCTGCTCCCGCCACTGTCGCCCCTGCCCGGCCGATTCCCTGCGCTTCTCATCCCGCTACTTAGCCGCTTCCCACGTCCTCGAACTTTATAAACTTGTATATTGTCTCCACACCGACCTCCAAGATTAATTTTTTCTCCCACCCCCTTTGAGGAAAGAGGGGAGCTTCTCTATAGATAGTAGACGAAATTTTAACCCCACTACAACTTCCAAAGTTGCTAAGCTATTTGGGACAAGTACTGAATATGTTCAAGGTCTAAAAAAGAGGGTGATTATTGTAAGAATAACTTTTTAAAACCCTGCATGTCCTAACCTCACCACGGGTTTTTCTAGGTGTTTCTGACTCCAGTTCACCTCAACCCCAGGCTAAAATGCGGTCAGGCAATACATCCAGTGTAGACTAAGAAGTATTCAGGATACCTAGTGCCCTTTGGGCATGTGAAACCAGTTTTCAGCTTTTAAAAAGCAAGGTAGGAGATGGCTGTAAAATAAAGTACTTTCTATTTTTGGATAGGCAATCCAGGAAAACACTCAAGTAGTAAACTTAAGGAAAAAGAATCTGGAAAGTGCTGGGATGAAGTTCCTAAACTAATTGAGTTGTGTGTGTATTGTCTTGTTTTGTTTAAATATTATCATAATTCTCCTTCCAACCAAGAACATTTTCAGCACTTGTGCAAATACTGATGGGAGTGATATTAAAATTTAGACCAGTAGATATGCTACCTTTTACAATAGAATATTATGTGCAGTGTCCCAGCCTCAGCCTCCCACACCCACTCTACCCCTACTGCAATGCGCTCCACC